CCTTTCCTCCCCACACCTCCCTTTTAATTGGCTACCATATGTACCCCTGGATTTGGTCCAGCCCCTGCCATACTACCTGGAACTCACCCCTAGAGTGTTTGTATACATAGAAGGGTTTCTTTAATGCTTTTATGCATAGCAAGGTAAACTGTACCCAGGCAACCATTTGAGTAACTGATGCTAGCTATATGCAAAGTCCCCTTCAAGACAAGACTCCGGAGTGGAAAAGATTGTCTCACAGGGGCTGGCTGGAGGTAAGTGAAAATTCAGGCTGAAACCAGATCCAAAGACTGGGGGACCAGAGCAAAGAGTCTACTGGGAACCACTGGACTTGGTGTCCTGAGGGAGAGTAGGAAGCATATGGGTGACTCCCACCTTGACCTCTGTGGTGTCCCAAGGTTTCTCTAATTGGCGAAAGGTGGACATAAGGCCTTCAGCACCAGCCATCCTGGTCTCAGAAAACTTGAATGTGACAAAGCTCCCTGATAGGACGAGGACTAGGTGAGCCAGTTAGGCACCCAGGACTCTGCATTTGGGGAGACAAGGTCTTGCAACCTGCAAGTGAGCGCCTCGCTTGCCTCTCCCTCATCCCTGCCTGGCCACTGGTTATCTCAGAGCAGGAGCCCTGGCAACTCAGTCCTTCACAAGCAGGCCTGAGACCAGCACCAGGCCACAATGCTAGACCTTCGGGAGCTTACAGGCAAGGGCGCGCCAGGGTCTCCTAGGGAAGACTCCTAGACTGGGAGAGGGTGGTCAACAAAGTCCCCGGGAGAAAGTAGTCTTGGCTGAGATGTGAGCTCTGGGGAACAGAGGGCTAGTCCCAGGGAGGGTGTAGGGCAGTCCATTCTAGGCCTGCTCAGTCTAGGACTTGGAGCTTGGCCTTAGAAACTGAGAGCCCACCGGAGCATTGATTGTCAAAAAGCTGATGTGTGTGCATGCGCCTGTGTTTGTGTCCTTTGTAGGTTTTCGACATGGCCGAGGAAGCTGTACAGCACAGACCCGTCCCAGGTGGAATCCCTCGCCACCACCTCACCATCTGGGAGCTCACAAGTGGCCCCCATGCCACTGGATTTCTCCGAGATCAACTTAAATGACTTTGTTAAGTAAGTGCAAAGTGCGAGGCCAGGGCATGGAGTTGCGTTTTAAGAGCGTTTCTCTACACTCACATTCTCAGTCGGTACTTGTCCCTCACTTCTTCGTCTAACCATTCCCTGGTCAACAGTTCAACGTGTGGCTTCTGTGTGTCAGGCCCTGGGCCAGGCAATTGGCAGACTCCAAGAAGAACATCGTCCCCACTTTCAGGAGGTCAGAGCCTGCTGACTCCTAGGGGCCTGAGCCCTCCCTCTTCCAGCACCAGTACCCGCACCCCCCCCAGGTCTGCGCCCATGATCTGGCCAAAGCTAGCAAGCAGAAAGGGCTGAAATGATTTGCCAAGGGTTCTGTCTTCCTGATAAAATGCTCCGGTAGATGACGAGACTTAACACGGAGCACATTGTGTGGGCCACGGCCAGGGAGCTTCTTAGGCTCTTCTGTAAGCCCACTACAGGCTCAAAGGGATAGGGAGGAAGAGCTGGACCCCTAGAGAACTGACCGACTCCATGACCTTGATGACCTTGAAGTTTTCAACTGCATGTTGGGGACACACAAAGAGCAACTGAGCAGCTGACCTCTGGAGACAGGCCTGCCTTGAATGAGAACTTGCTCTTATTCCTGGGGGATGGGGCATGTTGGTGTGGGAGGGGGAAGACTGAAGACGCATTGTGGTAGCTGCTGACGGTGGGATTCTCTGCCCCTTGTTAAACTCCCAGGACCATCCTGGTGCATGAAGATGATGAGGACTCTGAGCGAGAGCCCATGAAATCTCAGCCGTTCGTCACCACCAGGGTTCTTCCAGAAGCCCAGAGTTCTTTCCTTGGGGTAGGTCAGAAATTGAAGTGTCCTGCTCATTGAGCAGGAGCCGAGTCTGGCTGGGATGGAGCTGCTTAACTTTATCAGGGTTACTTCCCCACCAGACACCCCCAGAGCCCACATACATGCGCCCACGTGACCTCAGTCAAGATCTACACTGTACACCTTGATGATCTTTAGCCTCAAGGGCAAACATGTGTCTCTCCATCATTCCACAGTGAAAACCAGAGGGAGGTCAAGGGCCTTCTCCTCCCAGAGGGTTGGCCTGATGACATCATCCTAGACACCAAGCCTTAGGTGCAAAGGCGTTTTGTCAGGACACTTCAGAAAGAGAAAGAAAAAAAAGATTGGGGAAACAAGGAAAGATAACCCATTAAGTGTCCATGATGATGGAATATTATACAATCCTTTAAAATGGTGCTGGCCTAAGGAGTGGCAGAGTCATGGGCCGAAAGGCAAGCTCATCCTCTGTCCGTGAGAGTCTTGCGTTGGCTTAACCCCTAGGATTGTAACGTGGCAACGGGTCTCAGAGTCTAAAACGCACCCACCATTCCTTGTCTAGAAAATGATTCCCCAGGTACCTCTGCATGTTTGCATACAGGGCATGTCACGACCCTGGACGAGGCAGCTTTGTAAACTGAGAAAAACTGGAGACAAGGTGATCCCACCACTGGGAGCCTGCTGGGATAAGCTGCAAGGCCTCCTCAGGATGCGATCCGTGCAACAGAGCTGCCTTCCTAAGACAGAGCCAGGGCTCCAGACTGATGTGGAGCAGTCTGAGGCGTTAAGTTAAAAAGCCTACGGGCAAAACGGGGTGCACAGCGCACTACCACTGTGTGTAAAGGGTGGGGGGGGGTGTATCCTTGTGAAAACAACCACAGCAAACACGTGTTGAGCATTTAGTCTGTGCTTTGCACTTTTCTAGGTGTTTTTCTGTTTGTTTGAACATTCACTCTCTTAATTCTCCCTACAACCCTGTGAAGCAGATCCTATGAACTTTCGCTGTGCTCCTGCTGAGGGGACACCCCAGCAGTGGAGCTGGAGTGCTTGGCAGTCGGGCCTCAGTGTCTTGCTCTACACTGTCTCCGAGAGAGCGGTGCACTGGTATATTCATTTGCATTCCAGAAGTACCTCTGCAACACACGCCCCCTGAGAGCAGGATTTTCCCTCCCGTGTTTCTGTTCACAGTTATCGCGGCGATTGAGAACTATGTTGCTTTTATTGTTGTTGTTGGAGTTCTCATTCGTTGAATGGAGTGGATAAATGGATGACACGGGGTCTCTAGGACTCTGAGTCCACTGGATGGCAGTGAGATAGGAAACAGCGGTTGTGTCGGGAGAGAGGAACCAGAGAACTCTGGGCCTGCCTGCTTCTGGTGGTTGTTTTCTACCGTATACCCTTTTCAATGTGTGTCATGTGCATAAATCAGCTCTTAAAGTGTATTGTCCTTAGTTGTCATCCAGTCAATTCCAGGCACGTGGGAAGGAGCTCGTGCTATGATGTCAGCTAAAGAAGGCAGACCCAAACATAGACTTTACACACTTTCAGAGAATACAGCCTAGTGACTGATTTCGCTCTTCTCTCTGGAGCACTCTGTTTTTCTGTTCTTCTGCGAGGAGTACATTGGCCTCCACGTGTTCATTCTTTCTTTTTTTTTCTCGTTTCAAACCCATTTACCATCAATAAACCTAGAATGCAAAAGAAAGAAAAAAAACCCACCACTGGGGGACTCAATGCCACTAAAATTTTCACAAACACCCTCCCAGACAGCTATTTACATATGCAAATCTCTGAATGATTCAGACACTCCTGACAAATGTCATTTTAACATGAATGGGAGCTGCAATCTGATGTTGCAAGTATCATTCCTGATCTTAGAATAGACCTTGTGTCCGCCTCTGAGTCACACACACACACACACACACACACACACACACACACAAAACCCTGTGTCCGCCTCTGGGTTACACACACACACACATACACACTTTGTTTAAAACAGGCAGTGGGAGCCTCTTTACTTAGCCGAGGGCTGTTTAGATCTTTGGAATACATTCTTGGTCCATACTGGTCAAACGTTTCATTCACTCCCCCCAGTGTGACGACGGGAACGCTTCTCTTCGGTGAGGCACGTATTGATGGCTTCCAGGGGCTTAGGCGGCTTGCAGACCAGATGTTCTTCACCCCTCCTTTAAAGTGACCCCCTACTGATGGACATTTGATGCTTCCTACAGTCTGTTGTGATAAATAACACGGAGACATTCTTTTACATGCCTCTTTGAGTAGTTGTCCAATTGTGTCCTCAGGATATTAAAAAAAAGAGCACGGATCGCCCATTTCATAATGCTGGCTGCTTTTCCCTCCCACCTATACTTTCTAGACCTTCAAAACTAATTCTGCTGAAACAGAAAGAATCTGCCCAATCCAGAGCCAGGTGGAGTTTCAGGAATCCCTGTGGATTTTTGACCCAGATGAAATGCTTTCCCTTGGAATAGAAGAGGTGAGTTGACCACCTCCTGGGTCTCTTCCCTCCTGAGCACCAGCTTAGGTTAGACCTTTAAATCTCAGCACCCTTGCCACCATCACCATCGTCAAAGAGTAAATGCCTAAATTTGGGGTGGGGGGGGTGCTGGGCTAGTTACCATTTATGGAGTCGTTAATCAAAGTCAGAAATTGATCTGTAAATGGACATTTAACCTTTGAAGGCCGGTCCTCCTGAGAAGTGCTCTCACAGAGAACTAACGCCTCCTTCTGCAGGTGTTTGACATCTTGCCCCTCTACGGAGTGCTGCAGCCACACAGCAGCCACCAGATGTCTTTCACCTTCTACGGGCACTGTGGCATCATGGCAAGCACCAAAGCTCTGTGCGAAGTAGAAGGAGGCCCCACCTATGAAATCACACTGAAGGGGGAAGCCTCCTTGGTCAGCTATTCCTTTGACACCAAAGAAATTAACTACGGACTGCAGGTATTGCCACCGAGCTAGAGCTCTCCTGGGTTTGCCCAAATACCTAAACGATGAGAGAAGTTCGTTTTAAACGGCCATGTGCATACACATCACCGGGATGGGACTGGGGGGCTGTTACAATGCAGATTCTCATTCCATAAATCCAGGTGGAGCTGAGAGTTTGCGTATCCAATGAACTCCGTGGATATGCCTAGGCTATAGGCCCACGGACCACATGTTGAGGGGTGCAGTGCATTCATCGCTTCTACTAACCAGTGTAAACACCACTGCCAGATCCGTTTCTGCCGCATCCGTCCCCTGACCAGTGAACCCCAACGGCATCAAGGGAAACAAAGCATTGCGAAAGGACCAATGTGTTATAATGAGAAGAATTGGGATGCTATAACGATCTCACTGACATCCAACTGACAAGAGTGGCCTCCCTAATCTCAGTACCCCTCATCTATGCAGTGAGGATGGAAGAACAAGGCCCCTCTCATGGGTGACTGTGGTTACTTTAGTACTTACCCAGTTCCAGGCTGGGTCCAAATAGGCCTTTCATCATTTTGAGTTTCCTTCTCTATCACCCAGTGCATAAGAGCTAGATTCCAAGCTTGATTGAGGGTGACCATGCCCCTCTGTTCACTTTGACTGACTAAGAGCCTCACACACTTAAACTTGGTTTCCACCGTTTCCCCAGTGCAGTCCCCTTCCATTAAAGCCAACTGGTTTACCCATTGGCCCTTAGAACGTCCCACTACTTCCTGCCTCCATGCTTTTTCTCATGCAATCCCTCGCATCCTCTCCTCTGCCAACCCCAAACCTAGGCCCTCTGGAACTCCTCGCTCAGCCCCGCCCACACATACCTCTTTCTTCATTCACTCTCTTCAGCACCATAGTACGTTCTCATGTTGGCTTTGGAACAATGGTAAGTTAACTGCATTCCTGTACAGTGAGTCAGAACCCTCTCTCTCCGGTTAGGTTTTTGCATTCTTGCAGGCATAAACCACATTGCCTTTTATCTTTCCATGGGTATTAGATCCCAATTGTGTAGTTACCGCATGTATCATTACTACATTTTGCATGTCTATGTGTGTTCATAAGTTAAAGACTGTGCCTGAAATCTCCTCCACCCAACACCTGTTGAACTCTTCTCCATTTGGTGGATCAAGTAGAATGCTCCTTCCCTCTTTTCTCCAGGGCTTTCTGGGCAGCCGGCTCAGAATAGGTTCTTTGAAGCAGCTAGGCCTGGCCCAGGCTCAACCTAACAACCCTGGAAGTAGCCTTGGTCGGTGGTGATTGGGCCGGCTGGACCTTGCTGCTGAATTAGGCTCAGGGGAAAGAACCCCTCTGGCTTATTTCCTCCGTGGACCCACTAAAGGAAAACATTCATTCCAGAACATGCTGGACTTGAATCCTGTCTTTTTCTTAAAGGATAGACTTCATAAAGTAAAAGTCCTTGCCATAAGAAGCTTACATGAAGATCCTCTAGTTGTAAGGATCCCTGGTGGCTCTGTGACTTAAGCGTTGGGCTGCTAACCACAAGGTTGGCTATTTAAACCCACCAGCTGCTCGGTGAGAGAAAGAGCTGTCTACTCCTATAGAGATTTACATCCCCAGAGACCCCACAGAACAGTTCTGCGGTAGGGTCACACTGAGTCAGAATTGACTTGATGGCAGTGGGGTTTTTGTTTGATTTCGTTTCACTATACGTTCCTCATGGCGAAGACCTGAAGTTCACAACAGTTAGATGTCTAGCTATGATCATACTTAAATGAATCCATTATCAGGAGAACTAAGGCCAGAGCATCACTCTCAGAGTCTAGGGCACCTTCCTCTTTTTTAATGATGCTGTGATGTGGGCCAGCCAGTGTTTGTATCACAAGAAATGAAAGCCAGGTTTGTCAGGTTGGGAGCAGCATCCCAAAGGGTTGGGGGCAGTGGAATCACCTCTTCTGCTTCCTCTCCTGAAGCTGTTTGACCACGTCACGGAACGAGAAATCACCCTGAAGAACACAGGGAAAGTCGGCTTTGAGTTCAGGGTTGTGATTGACCACCAATCTTCACCAGACAGCCTTCTGCCCGGAGTGCCACTCATCCTGCCCATCTCTGTAAGTAGCCTGCCCACTGCTGACCACATGTGCTAATGTGGGGTGGGCTCTAAATGCAAACCTACAAACTGCACCCCACATGTGGGGGACTAGAGTAAGGTGACCAGATTATCATGAACCTTGATTAAATTAACTTGAATAAATTACATTACTCAAGTCTTCTCTCTTTGTCAGTTTAATTTTTCTACGGCTCAGAGTGGTTCTCTACCTATGATTTTTCTCCATGTATATTAAAATATTTTATGCATTTTCTTCTTTTTTATCATTTTATTGGGGGCTTGTACAACTCTTATCACAATCCATCCATCCATCCATTATGTCAATTACATTTGTGCATTTGTTGCCATAATAATTTTCAAATCGTTTTCTTTCGACTTGAGCCTCCCTCTCCCACCCTCCTTCCCTCCCTCACGACTCTTGATCATTTATAATTTTTTTTTCATGTCTTACACTGACCAATGTCTCCCTTCACCCACTTTTCTGTTGTCCATCCCGCTGGGAGGGGGTTATATGTAGATCATTGTGACTGGTTACCCCTCTCTCCCCACCTTTCCCTTACCCTCCTGGTATCGCTACTCCCAATATCGGTCCTGAGGGGTTATCTGTCCTGGATTTAATCCTCAGGGTTTAATAACTTTTTCTTACCCTCTCAGACCTTAGGAGGATCATAGAAATATGTTAAGCAATTATAAAGAGCCCATTCAATAGTGATTTTTAAAACACTGTAAATAACTTGAAGTCCCACTAGTGTTGCTTCCCCAGGTCACGGTCCCCAATCTGTGGCTTCTGCTCATTGTGAGCCCTGTGATTCTCTCTCCTCTTGTTTTCCGATTACTAGTCTAGAGATTATACTTTGTGTGGCCTTACTCATAGATTTTTAAGTTTTATTACATCGTGTTTGAATATGCAAAAAATCTGGGTCGCATGTCTTATTTACAAACCACAACAGTAACCACAACACCCACGAGCCTGCCCACCGCCTTTAAATCCACAACATTACCCAAAGTTTGTGTCTCCCTGTGGGCTCCTTTTCTATTGCAAATTCCTGCTTCCCACTCTCCCACCAAAAATCATAAGTCTGATTTTTATGTTTATCATTCCCTTACTTTTTAAAAACAGTTTGATCTTGTATGTATCTACTAGGGGAGGGAGTGGACTTCCAAAATGTGTGGAAATTTCCCACTAACTTTTAATTTCCTTTTTCCATGAGCTTTTGAAGCCCCCTCGTATCCCTAAGTGTAGTGCTTAAGGAGGTTAAGCGTCTCCTATGGCCCAGCATTGTTCTGGAATGGAGTATGGGGTCATGAACAAAATCGGCACATGTGCTTGCCTTCAGGCAGGGAATTTCGCTTTACCTTGAGCTTTCTAAAACTGGTATCATAGTAAATGTAGTCTTGGGCAATTTGCTTTTTTCACCCAACATTGTCTTCCTAAGACCTGTCTATATTGTTGGATGTAGTTTTAGTTCATTTCTTCTCACGGCTGCATGAGATTCCTTTTGTAACCATGTTGAAAGTAATTTTTCCTTTTCCACCAAAACACACTGCCCCCCCCTCTAATTTTTTGCTATTTTTATAGTAACCCTGCTACACATATTCTTGTATATGTGTCCTGGTCCACAGTTGTAAGATTTCCCCTAGGGGATATTCTAAGGATGGAATTGCTGGGTCGTGTGCTATGGGCACATCTGTCTTTATGAGCAGGAGCTAATGTTTTGTATTTTAATTATTCCCATTGGCCTGCCGACCAGATGTGTATACGTGTTTTCTTTTATGTATGTTCTCACCAAAATCTGATGTTTCCAATCTTGTGGTTTAAAAATAATTGTGTTCTCTGGAAATACAGGGAATCCAGGACAGATGATCCCTTCAGGAACAGCGGTGAAAGTGGCGATACTGGGGGGGTGGAAGGAAGGTGGGGTAGAAAGGGGGAACCGATTACAAGGATCTACATATAACCTCCTCCCTCGGGGACAGGCAACAGAAAAGTGGGTGAAAGGAGACATCGGACAGTTTAATAATAACAATTTATAAATTATCAAGGGTTCATGAGGGAGGGGCGAGTGGGGAGGGAGGGGGTAAAATGAGCTGATATCAAGGGCTCAAGTAGAAAGCAAATGTTTTGAGAATGATGATGGCAACAAATGGTCAAATGTGCTTGACACAATGGATGGATGGATGGATTGTGATAAGAGTTGTGCAAGCCCCCAATAATGTGATTTAAAAATAACAATAATAATTGTGTTCTTTTAGTTTATGTTCCCCTGTTTACTAGTTAGAGTGAGCGCATCTTTTACTGTTTTCATGTGCTGTCTTTTAATGTTCTGTCTTTTAATGTTTTAATGCTGTCTTTTAATGTTCTGTCTTTTAATGAAATGCCTGTTTGTCTATATTACCCATTTATCTATTGGTTGTTTGTTGTTTTCATATTGATTTACTGGATTAGATCTTGAGGGGAGGATGTAAGTGGAAAACAACCCATGGATTCTCTAGGCCATCAAACTGTGGGAAGCAGAAGCCCGTTTGTAAGTGTTAAAGTTCTCCCTGATCATCCACACAGGGTTTTATTGAATCGCACAAAGAGCAGGTGTTGAAGGTGTCCTACTTACCTGGCGTCCCTGGGGTCTTCCATCGGAGTTTCCAGATACAGATCGCCCACCTGGACCCAGAAAATATCGTTCTGAATGGAGAGGGATTCTTTCCCCGAATCTGCCTCGATCTCCCCAGGAACCTCAAAGGTACTACTGATCCATGTCGCGCATTTCTCCACTGGGGGACCACAGGCACATGTTAGCTTTATTTATTTGGAGGTCTGTGGCTACTCACACTATTTGTAAGTCTGTTCTATCCAGTCCCCTTCTGTGGTCATTCTGCAATGGCAAAAAAGAGAGAGAGAGAGAGAGTTGAATTTAACTTGGTGGCATGAGTTTAGACAGCCAAGATCTGGTCTATGGCAGTACCATGTGAGGACCACTGGCCATCGTTGAATTGCTTTCTCTTTGTAAAGGGAGCAAACTATTTCATTTCCAAAGGCCTCTTCTTTTAATTCCCATTTCTTCCACGACAATCCTTCCGCAAGTTATTTTATCTGACAGATGGCCTTGGGAACACAAAGGGTGGTGGGAGGAGCTCTTGTCAGGTGCTATGGTACAAGAGAACAGATCCGTGCCTGGCCCGTCGCCACCTTCACAGTCATTGCTGTCTGAGCCCATTTTTGCAGTCCCTTGGGTCCAGCCATCTCTCTGAAGGTCTTCCTCTTTTTTGATGACCCTCTATGTTTTTAAAGGGTAGAATTCTCAAAACTTAAACAATACAGAAAAGCAAGCCCAGGGCTTGAGTCCTTATTTCAGAGTTCCTAGGGGATGCAAATGCTTAAGGACTTGGCTGCCAACCAACAGGTTGAAGGTTCAAGTCCACCCAAAGGCGTCTTGGGAGAAAGGCCTGGTGATCCATTCTAGAAACGCCTGTTTAGCACATCTATATTCTGACTATGGTGGCATTGTCATGCACTGGAATGGACTCAATTTGCAACTGGTTTATTTGAAGTCGGGGTGGGGAAGCTTTGTATTTGTTTGTTTTAGAATTGCATAGATTGGAAACTAAGTTATACTTTTTCTCTTGTTCTGGCATGCCCATCAGGGAATGCCCTGTCTTTCAGGTAGACCTGCCCCACCCACCCCTCTGGTCTTAGTTACACTTCTATTAGTTGTTTACCCACAAGTTCAATCAGGACTTTTCTGGTCATATCTAGACTCAGAGCTATCCCTCAGTTCCAGAAGAATACTCGTCTTACAGATCCTGAAGTTCAGCTATGTGACTCTTAGGCAAAGAACCTCTCTGGGTCGTTCTTCCTGAATTAGGGTTGAGAGAAATTCCTCACAAGGAGCTGGAAAGAAGAATGGGCAGAGCCGTAGCCTACGGAGGAAGCTGGAAGAGGGCAGTTCCATTGACAGGAGAGCAACCGGTGTCACAAAATAAAATATGTATAAACTGCTGGGTGCAAAATTAATTTGCTCTATAAACATTCACCTATGAGACAATAGACAGTGAAGGGGAAAAGGAGGAGAGAAATTTCTAACTCCTCCTCATGAATAATCCCTCTTCAACGTCCTTAAGACCCAGTCTTCTTCATCCCCTTACAGAAGGGTCTCTGGGAGGAGACGAGCCAGTCAGGGTGCAGTACAGCCACGATGAAACGTACACCTTTCCTCTAGTTCTTAAATGCTTCCTTCCCCCTCTATCATGATCCCAATTCTACCTTACAAATTCGGCTAGACCAGAGGATGCACACTGGTACAGATAGGAGCTGGAAACACAGGGAATCCAGGACACATGTTACCATCAGGACCAGTGGTGAGAGTGGTGATACCGGGAGGGTGAAGGGAAGGCGGGGTAGAAAGGGGGAACAGATTATAAGCATCTACATATAACCTCCTCCCTCAGGGACAGACAGATATGACAAAATAATAATAATTTATAAATTATCAAGCGTTCTTAAGGGAGGAGGGGCAGCGAATGAGGGGGGAAATGAGGAGCTGATACCATGGGCTCAAGTAGAAAGCAAATGCTTTGAGAATGATGAGGGCAACAAATGTACAAATGTGTTTGACACAATGGATGGATGTATGGATTGTGATAAGAGTTGTTTGAGCCCCCAGTAAAATGATTAAACAAACAAACAAAAAACCCAGTCTCCTTAAAAACCCTAAGTCCTGACATCTCAGCCTTTCCACCTACCCTGCTCCTCAAGCCCACTCACCTGTTGGCGATCATGGTCACCCATTATGAATTCTAATTGTCTTCACTCTTGACACTATGAACGTAAATATTAGTAAAGCTAAAACCAAATTTGACTATGGTGCCTAGAGCCCCAGTCAGAGGGAGAGTACAAAACCCCATATATATGGGCAGGAAGGAAAGCCTTGGCCACATGGTTGGGAACTGGGCACCCAGGGGATGGCCTCATACGTGCCATGGATAGTTTGCCCGGTCAGTGCTGCGCTTTAAAATCAGTGCATTTTGAATGTCATTCGTTGGATCTTCAGGGCTCCAGTTCACCCCTGTCAAAGCAGCTCCCAGTTTTGCTCATCAGTTTCCCGACATTGACCTTGGAAGCATTTGACTTGGCACCACAATTGATCTGGTTGTCTAAAATCTATCCATGGATTGCCTACCTTCTCTGGTATCAAAGATTGTGGCTTATTTGCTTTTGCCTAAGGCAGCTTGGCCCAAACATATTCTTTTTTGTTGTTGTTGTTGGTGGTGACCTGAGATTTAGGAAACACAAAGACAGACTGATAGAATAACCAACTGCCTTTGTTAGTTTTGTCCCGCAATGAGGAAGTCCGTGGGACACAATACTTCAACACTGAATTCCTTAGAAAGTCGGATGGAGTTAGACAAACACCCTGTCAGTGACGTTGGCTATTGCTGCCATCCAGTTCTTGAGAGCCCATGAACCCATCTTTCATTAATCCCGGTGATATCCCGGAGACAAATTCTATTCATTCACCAATTATCTCACTCCCTGAGGCTGAGGAAATAAGGAAATAAGGCAAGGACAGTATCAAACAGTTTCCTTCCCTTCTCGCTTCACTGTTGTAGCCTACTGTCTGTTCCCAGAAAGAAAACAACCCAGACCCCGACAAGTTCAAAAGAAAAAGTTTTATTTCCTGTGCTGGGACCGTCAGCCCTCTTGAGAGGAGACTGAGCAGTCCCCCGTTTACTTTTCCAATTGTTTTTATACTGTTGCAACGTGCAGGTTCGCAAGCAAGCAGAGTACAGAAGCCGGATATTGCGGTTAGCCCTTCTTAGTCAAACAATAAGTGCTCTTCCTTGGATAATAATCACTCTGATCGTTCTTCCAAGTCTTCTGAACATGCATTTCCTTCGGTACATTCCATTGCGCATGTCAGCACAGCCTGCCTCCCTAATATCAGCTAATTCATTTGTAGTTCATAGCTAGTTCATTTAGAGTTCATAATGGCTTCTGTCAGCTCAAAATGGCTTCACTCTTGTCAAGGCTGTTTAAGCCTTTCCTACAGCTACTACTTCACCTCCAGACTGTGGGTGAAGGGAAACTGAGTTGGGGCTTGGATTTTATTGAGTCTTTGATGAACACAGAAAGTTAGGTGATCGCTTGACAGCTTCCATACAAATGATTCCCTGTTTCGCCACTCACACCACTGGTCCTGTAGGGCTCATCCGCCCTGGATTCCCTGGATTTTCAGTTCCTATCTGTACCAGTGTACAACGGACGGTTTTTATGGAGGACACCTATCGTATGTGGGTTATAGCCTCTATTTTGTGTGCTGCCAGCTATTTCACTCAATGGTGATCTCCAGGGAAAGGCTGGGTTCTGGATTTAAACGGGCTCTCAAGTGGACTGCTGGTATGGTTCATTTGTCCGACTCCTTTTTGTTTTTAAGAATTTGTGTTCAGCTGTGCATTTTTCTCTCATTCTACCCTTTGCTGTCTTTTGTGGCCCCGATCAGAATGGCCAGGAATGGCAGGCAGGCACCGTCTAGTTCTTCAAGAGTCCATGTTTTGGACATCACTTAAGTTTTTCTAATGAACCTTATTCTCTTCTTCCAATACCCACAGGAAATGAAAAGTATGAAACCTTCTTGAACCAGGCCAAAAAAAATCTGGAGTATGAAAAATTTGATACTCTCGCTCACTTAGAGATGGTAGCAGAGGAGATACCCGAGTTTGAATCCACTGAGGTAAGAGTCGTTTTACCCTGCAGAGGCTCACACTGTACAAGAAGACTTCCAAAAGGTTCGTGGGGAAATTCCGTTACCTTGTAGTTCCATCTGTCCATGAACTTCTTGAAGATACCTTGTACATGCATAAGGATAGTACGTGCAGGCTCAGTGACGAGAAGAGCCAGGTATGTCTGAGGAACAGAGAGGAGGCTAGTACAGCTACAGACAAGAGGGAGGAAGCAGGCAGGGTGAGCCATGAGTCTGCAGAGACTGGCGATGCCTTGGGAATCATACTAAGGATTGACACTTTATCCCAAGAATAACAAGAAACTACAGAAGTGTTTCAAGCAGGGGGGTGACATGTTTAGATGTGTGCTTTTAAGAGATCCCTGTGGATGCCAGGCGGGGTTGGGAGGGTATGTTTGTCATGGACGGGAGCAGGGACTTGGGGATAGAAGAATAGCTATGGGAAGATTGCTTTTTATAAAAGCTAATCTTTAAGACAGTTCTTCTCGGTGAGAGGTGATGGTGGTATGATAGAGAGGAGTGGGTAGATTCCAGAAATAACCCAGAGGAGGGATGGTCAGGGGTCAGGGATTGATGGCATGTGGGGATGAGAGAATGATGGCCTCCCAGGGTGCCTTGCTTGAGTGACAAGGTGAAGAGAAGGCACAGAGATCAGAGCCTTTGGGAGATGAAGCAGGTTTGGGGTTGGGGCTGGGGGAGGAAGGCAAGTGGGGAAATGAGTTCAGAGAGTTTGTAATTGTGCAGGAGATGTCTGTGTGCCCTCCCTGTGGGGGCATCCATAAGAGAGTTGCCGTCCCCTGCTGTGGACAGAGAGAGGGGACAAAGCTGGAGAAAGAGATTGGAGTCCTAGGATCATGGATGCAATGCCAGAAGCAGTGAGCTTTCCTGGGGGAAGGTGTTGACATTCAGTACGGAGACCTTTGGGGGCATCAACACCCAGGGGGTGAATATGGGAGGTGGGGTGAGAGAGTTTCTGGGAAAATCAGGCATATGTGCTGCCACAGAGGTGAGCTCTCCAGGGAGAACCAGCCCAGAGTATAAGCAAAGGCTGCCCCTGCAGCAGCAGTTCTCAACCCGTGGGTCGAGACCCCTTTGTGGGGGGTGAACAACCTATAACAGTAGCAACATGACAGTGATGAAGTAGCAACGAAAATAATGTTATGGTTGGTGGTCACCACAACATGAGGAATTGTATTAAAGGGTCGAGGCCTTAGGAAGGTTGAAAAACACTGCCCTACAGGACAGCAAAATCCCAATGTTTTCCCTCACCGTTCTCTGGAATTTCCACTCCTGTGGTCTGTTCCTGACTATTAGTTGATATTGCCAGCTCCCTGTGTTCTTACTTTAAAATGGAAATGTGTGTGTAAGTATTGTCCTAAGGAAGAATTCTGTGGATAACTGGAAAGCTCAGTGCCTGGTTTAGAGAAGGGGGTCCTAAAATTGAGAAGAAAAGTATATGTAGTGGGAGAGAATAGGAGCCCTAAAGGCCACCAGCAAAGACCTGTTTGGCCGAAGGCTGGCGGTTATGCTAGGGGCTGGTCAGCAGTTTGAAACCACTGGCAGCTTGAGGGAGAAAGACTGGACTTTCTACTCCCGTCAACAGTATCTCGGAAACCCACCGTCGAGGGTCACTCTAAGTCAGCGATGTCTGGATGACTGTGAGCTTGGCTTGGGTTTGAGTTCCCTAGAAGATGCTTTTCTTTTATAACCATACCGACACTTTCTGGCCCCACCCCTTGCCCCTGGCACCCACCAGCTACGTTCTCCATTACTTGACTTTTGCCACATCAAAAATGTTCTGTAAGTGTAACCATATAATGAAGAAAACTGATGGTGCCCGGCTATCAAAAGATATAGCATCTGGGGTCTTAAAGGCTTGAAGGTAAACAAGCGGCCATCTAGCTCAGAAGCAACAAAGGCCACATGGAAGAAGCACACCAGCCTGTGTGATCACGAGGTGCCGAAGGGATCAGTTATCAGGCATCAAAGAACAAACAATCATATCATTGTGTGAGCGGCAATACTGGGAGGGTAGAGGGAGGGTGGGTTGGAAAGGAGGAACTGATTACAAGGATCTACATGTGATCTCCTCCCTGGGGGATGGACAACAGAAAAGTGGGTGAAGGGAGACATTGGACAGAGCAAGATATGACAAAATAATAATTTATAAATTATCAAGGGTTCATGAGGGAGGGGGGAAACGGGGAGAGAGGGGAAAAATGAGGAGCTGATGCCAGGGGCTTAGGTGGAGAGCAAATGTTTTGAGAATGATGAGGGCAATGAATGTACAAAAGTGCTTTACACAATTGATGTACGTATGGATTGTGATAAGAGTTGTATAAGCCCCTAATAAAACTATTTTTTTTAAAGTATAACCATATAGTATGTGATCGGTTAAAATTGGCTTTGCCCACCTAATATAATGTCCTTTAGATTCACCCAAGTTGTGGCATGTATCAGTAGCTCATTCCGTCTTATTGCCGAGGCGAATCTCATAAGTTGGATGGATCCCAGTTTGCTGGCCACCCTCTTCCCTCATATAGTTTAGAATACTCTCAGTAGACTGTATGTTTATGTCATAATATTTGTGTGTTTTTAAGAAAGCCACAGACCATTGTGGTAGCTACAATTTTTTTTCATCCTCCCAAGAACTAATGTGTGCCCCATTGGGGGTGACATCATCCCCACGGAGGAAACATGCTCCTGAAGAATGCTCTTCTCCCTCGTTCCAGTTTAGTGCTCATCTCCAGATGGAAGTAGAGAGACTGATAGTCCAAGGATATGCCCTAGAATACCAGAAAACAATTTCCCTCGATTCCTTAGACTCCTCCCGGATCCATCGGAGTCGCCGCAAACTGGCCAAGTGAGTGCCCTTTCGGGTTGTACTTGTTCCAGAGAGAATCCCAGCAGGCATGCTGTCAGGATGCTCCCTTGAAAGTAATGTTTGACCTCGGAGTGAAGTCCAATAGTCTCCCTTATCTGCTATCATCTAGCATCAAACCCGGCTGTGAAAGTCAGAAAAGTCTGAAGTGGTCTAATGGAGCGGCCTCATTGCCACAGAGTCTGTGTGCGCACGCACGGAGTGGCTGAAGCGGCAGTGTGGGTTTCTGAGAGCAGAAGTATCCTGCTCCTACTTTCCATTCTGGTGCCATTCCTTGTTGTCTGCTCTAGAGGGGATAATTGTCCCCAAGAGATGCAAGAGCATCTCACACTGTCTCAGTTTTGCAAAAGACACCTTCCAGATTTGAAAGTGACTGATAAGGATAGCTTCTCCACCATTTCAGAGTTCAACTGCCAGAGTATATCCTGGACTTCGGCCACATTGTCCTCGGGGACGTCCGAACCCACATAATCAAGATCACCAACACCAGTCACTTCCCAGTGTCCTTTCAAGCAGAAAAGCGTGTCCTTCACGACACAGGTAACCAGAACGGGGAGGCTCTTTCCTCTTCCTTTTTGTCCCTAATGAGGACCTGCCGCCCACCCCCACCCCCATCTGTACTGTCCTTTTGGATCAGCTTGCATGCTTCTCCTGGGATCACTTGAACTGCAGGACTTCTCATCAAAACATTGAAAAGTCATCCCGCCCCAGTGGGGGATCTGTCCGCATCCCCTCTTACTTGCTGTTTCTCCACCTCCCAAACCAATGTTGTTTTTCTCACTGTCCTGGTCCAGGCTTCAGTACTGAGCTAGACCGTGTGAAGAATCTGCCGTACTGTGAAACAGAAACATTTGAAGTGAGATTTGACCCCCAAGGGGCCAATCTATCTATCGGAAACAAAGAAGTTACAATGCCCATCAAGGTAAGTTGCACCCCTGGGCTGGATTAGCCCTTCTTGGCCCCCCAGTTCTCTGTGCAGCTCACCCCTGAGATGAGCTAGTGCTTCTGTCGGAACCATCACTTTCCCATCTCCCTTCCCCTAAAATCCCACAACTCGGTGTGTCTGGTCGGGTTGTCTTGAGAAACAAACCAGTGACACTCACATATGTATGAGAAAGCGCTCTATATCAAGAAGGTGTTCCAACCCAGGCGAACTCAAGTCCAAGGGTCCAATGCTAGCTGGCGCCCTCTTCAGACGTATGTAGTTGCAGGCTGGTGATGCAGAAAGGTCAAGTGGGAAGCTGGAATATCCTAAACCGGGGGTATGGCAGAATCACATGGACCCAAGGTCTGTGGGAGCATGGCAGGTATGTTAGGCCGGGTTGACTAGAGAAACAGATCCAGAGACACTCCTATAGGTGTAAGAAAGATCGGTCCATCAAGAAGCTTTATCTATCAAGAAAACATCCCAACCCAGTTCAACACAAGTCTGTAAGTCCAAGACCATAAGTCCCTCTTCAGACTCAGGCAGTCACCAGCACTGATGCAGAATGCAGGAAGATCACAGGCCGGTGGGTGCAAAGTCTTGTGGATTCAATGGCTGGACACATCTCCAGGCCTCTGGCCACCATCCGCGTCAGCCAGCAGGAAAATGGAGGCAGAGAGAGAGAGGGAGGTTCCCAGGACCCTCCTTATGAGAAGGTCACACCCCTAAGGAGGCCTCATCAGGCTGTGACCTGATTGATAGGCTTGACGCCACCCCTACACTTTCATATCTTCAAGCTGGTGTGAGAGTATGTAACGACCACAGCAGGGCACCAACAGTTCCCAGGGTTAGCAGCCCACCTGGGGCTATCCTGGGAGGCAGACACAGAATCAAAGCAGGGCAGAAAGCAACGCGCAAGAGCAAGAGCCAGAGAGAGAGGATTCCAGTGTCTCTTTTATCAAAAGGCCACACTCACAAGAAGGCATCATCAGCCAGTGGTGTAATTGGTAGACTGGACTCCACCCCTACATTTTCAACCAAGTAGAAGGGGTGGGAGGGAGAAGAGAGAATCATTGCTTAAGAAGTTTTGAGTCTGTTTATGGTGATGGGAAACTTAGCAAAGGATACTGGAAATGGTCATACCACATAATCGGTGTCATTGATAAAATTTACTAAATTATACACAAGAAAAAATATTGCACTGAAAAAAAAATCTGATCACCACACATGGTAAAAGAATTCTATTTTTGCTTTAGGTGGTTGGAGGGCCAGTAGTTCACATCTGTCTCAAAGCCAACGTGACGATCCCAAGTATGACGCTGTCTTGTGGCAAAGTGGAGTTTGCCACAATTCAGAATGGGCAGTGCCTTGTGGAAACTGTCCAGCTTTCTAATCATCTTCAAGTCCCCTGTGAATGGTTTGTCCACACTGTTAAGCCTGTTGACAAGGTAAATGACTTGTGGGCCGTGGGTCCCCTTTTCTCCATCGCCATTTCTTTCAACTTTTTATAACTCTAGGCTTTTTTAAAAATCATTTTATTGGGGGCTCGTACAAATCTTATCACAATCCATCCATCCATCCATTGTGTCAAGCACATTTGTACATTTGTTGTCATCATCATTCTCAAAACATTTGCTTTCTACTTGAGTCTTAATATCAGCTCCTCATTTCCCCCTCCCTCCCCGCTCCCCCCTCCCTCATAACTCTAGGCTTTTGCTCTGGTCATGTCACTCTCCTGCCCAGCGTTGTTCAGGGACAGCCACTGTCTCCTGAATAAAATCCAGACCTTTACCAAGGCCATGCTATCTGATTGAATGTCTCATTTATCTTTGTGCCTCTGGTATCTGCAGTCCCAGGCACCTGGGAGGGACTCAGTAAATGTCGGTTGAATGAACAGAGTATGGAAGGGGAGTCCCTGTTCCATAAATAAACAATCTAATAGTCTAATGTTTATAACCCAGCTGGGGAAGCACATGCCGAAGTACTTACGACGGAAACTACATGCTGAATTAAAGCCGAAGACACGGATCTTTGAGATTCAACCCATGTCTGGAGTCCTAGACCCTGGTGAGCGATCCAACGTGCAAGTGAAATTCATGCCCAAAGAAGAGGTAAGCTTTGACAAACTGTTCTTTCATTCCGATTCTCAGGATCTCTTTGAGCTTTACACAGAGTCTGTGCTTGCTTGGGTCTTAGGGAAAGTCCTGAGTGACCTGGGCCTTGCTATCCTGAATATGGCCTCTGAGGGCTTCTGGCCTAAGTAGAAGCTGTGTGGCCTAGTAGTGAGGAGCACACAAGTCCCTCTGGCTCTATCTTACCGGCTGCATGTGTGAGATCTCATAAGCTCTTAAAGGGCATCTCTGATCAGAGCACACAGGAGCAAACGAAGAGGCAAGGACAGAGGGTGGAATACATCCTGGCCCACCAAGCCCTGAGAAGAATATTCCTGCTCAGAGCAGCCAATGCACAGAGAGGACCACAGGGCCCGCCTCACCACGAGACACGATGTTTCCTCACTGACCCATAGTGGTACAGGGGACAACACTGGAGACACAGTGCAGGAATTGTGCCCAATCTGACCCCACCACACCGGGGCGAAACACTAAGGGCATGCAACAGAGCTACAAGGGGGGAAAGCAATGAAGTCCTGAGGGATACCAAAAATAGACTTTGGAGCCAGGGCCTGGCACTCCATCAGACTCAACCAGAAAAACACTCTTAACAGTCAACAAACAGACCTGGAACTATTTCTAGGCTTTTCATTTTTTGCCATTGGTTTTGTTGTTTGTGTTTTTTGTTTTGCTCTATCTTGGTTTTGTGCTTATGATTGTCTCTGCATGTCCATCTAGATCAGGGTTCCTCAAACTCTTTAAACAGGGGGCCAGTTCACTGTCCATCAGACCGTTGGAGGGCCGGACTATAGTTTCAAAAAGAAACTTTGAACAAATTCCTATGCACGCTGCACATATCTTATTTTGATGTAAAAAAAACAAAGGAGCAAAAGCACCCGGCGGACTGGATAAACGTCCTTGGTGGGCCACATGTGGCCCACGGGCCGTAGTTTGAGGCCCCCTGATCTAGATATTTGATTCTAAAGCTTAGCCCACCGTTTCTGCACTATAAAAGTCTTCCCTTGTGTCTTTGAAAAGAAAAGAGCATTAACATGTGTGTCATCCTGAGATCATCTTCCAGCAGTCACATGATTTGCTCGAGGTTTCATGTTTCCATTACTGAATGAACTATGCATCAGCGGGGAACTATGAATAGCTATGGTAAAAATCTATTCTCCGTTCCTTAAATTGTGTGCAGGCTTTGGTCAAAGGCAACCAAGCGCTGCCACCCACTGGGAACGCAACTTAGGAGGAACGGGGTAGCCCTTGCCACCACCTCACCTACAACCCTCCCCGCATCTTCAGCAACATCAGCAGCCAAGAGAAACCATTTTCAACATCGACACTGTCCCAGCATCAGCACCACAAGAAACATTTCCACTGCAACTCTCAGTCAATAAGAAAAGCTGAAAATTCACTCAGAAGCCTTTGTATTTTTGTTAGAAAACAAAGAACTGAGTGAAATCGTCTAGAAGGATTTCCTTAAAATTCAAATGTAGACATTGAGATCCCAAGGTGACAAATTCACAACCATACCAAAAAAGACCAAACAGACAAACTCTCAGAGCCGATGATTCACTCTCTGTTTCTACCAATATATATGGATGTGGATGTCCACACACATTCCATCCACCTGAGTTCCCCCCCTTGAGCTAAGATAGGTCTGAGCACTTCCAATTTTGAAGCTGTATCGGAGTGACCTGGGCATCTGATGAAATATCCAGAATCCCAAGAGTTCCCCTGTCCTCTAGAGATGAGACCAGGAAATCTGTATTTTTATTATATTTCCCAGTGGAATGACTTTAGAAATCACTGACTGTAAAGTAAATTTCTGTACCGCTTTGAGAAAACCACGTATGGTGTCACCATCAGCGGGAATTCTGATGATGAGCTGATGGGCTTTAGCTGCTCGGTCCCAGGCCTGCTGTAATCTGTGTCCTCCCCAATGGACATCTGTTAGATTGGCTTCTTCCAGAAGCAGCCGGGAGAAAAGGATGTGAATGCAAATAGCTGTTCTAGTTGGGAAATAAAAGGCAGTGAAGGAGAGGAAGGCAGCCTGCAGAGGGTGAAGCCTGGGACTTAATTCCTCAGGGAAGCTCTGGAGGAATATTCAAAACATGCGCTTGGGAATCGGGGCAGCAAAACCCACCCAACTGCTCCGTTGGAGAAAAGCCTGACAGTCTGTCTGCTCCAGTGAAGCTCAGAACCTAGACAACCCCTGGGAGAGTTCTCCTTTGTCTCCTGAGACATGGTCACTCCCGTGGAATCAATTCTGACTCATTGGGTTTCCAAGATTTTAAATAAGGTCCCCCAAATGTATTTGACCTACTGTTTCTTTTCAGAAGAAAAATTACTCAGCCACCCCCTTGGCAATTAAAAACTGTTTAGCCTGTATTCTGGAATAAGTTATAGGTATCTTCTTTGCAAGGCCCCTCCTTTTAAGAGCAGACCATCCTATCTTTAGCCTGTAGTAAGGCTAGTGAGTTCAAACATTGACTTTCTGGTCTCCACCACCGGGGCTCCTTTGGGGTCATTTTAAAAAAATTTAAAAACAGCCTAGAGCCAGATTTACTGTCATCAAGTCGATTCGACTCTTAGTGACCCTATAGGACAAAGTAGAACTGCCCTTGTGGATTCCTGAGACTATAACTCTTTCAAACTGATGCTCTTGCGTAACCATCACGCCAACCATTACGGACTCCTGCCTGGTATTGGAGTCACTGGGAATTGAAAAATCAGTTTGGTATTCCCTAACAACAACAGCAGGAGCACCGGTGACATAGTGGGTTATGAATTGAACTGCTAACCATAGATCAGCAGTTCGAAACCACCAGCCACTCCTGAGGCTTTCTGCTCTTGTACAGTTACAGCCGCAGAACCTTCTGCTTTGCCCTATAGAGTTGTTATGCATTGGATGGACTTGATGGCAGTGAGCTTGGTTGAGCTTGGTTAAGTGATGGAGCTTGGGTTGAAAACTGCTCCAGGGGGTGTTGTTCCTGGGCATCTCTGCCCTGTGATGCCCCTGACCCTTCATGTTTCACATGGCTTGTGGCAGAAAAAATCAGACCTCTGTTGTATTTGCTTGACTTTGTGTTTTCCAGAAATTCTACAGCCAGACGCTGATGTTCCAGATTGCCCAGAGCACTCAGAAGCTTACACTGCTGGCCCAGGGGCAAGGACTAGAGCCTCGCCTAGAATTTAACCCTTCGGTTCTGGAGCTGGGGCCACTGCTGCCCTGTGCCCCCGGAGACGAGGCCGAGTTGGTGGTGAAGAATCCCTGCAGCTTTCCCATTGAGTTCTACTCCTTAGAATTTGACCAGCAATATCTTATAGAGGAGAAGGTAAGCAAAAATCAAAACTGACTTCCATGCTCCTATGCCCGCTGGGCCCTGCCATGGCCAGGCCTTTACTCGTGTTCTTTCTCTTCAAGGACTAACTGCCCACTGGCCTTCCTCACGGCCTACCCTTGCCAAACTCAATGATTAACTCTAAAGGGTTAGCTTTACATTCTTTTGAGGTTTCTATTTACCTATCATGTCATTGTGGGATGACACTTTTTATTTTTTCCTTCTCAACCCTTACACCTTTTATTCAATCTCACCTTTTTGTACCAGCTGCGACCCCCAGGGTCATGGTGAAAAGAAATGATATTAAGCAGGCACTAGTTTTCACTTCTGACCTCAGAGGGAGATAGCCACTATTTCACCACTAACCAGAGCAGTCAGAATTTCACCGCTAAGTATGGTGTCTGCCATAGGGTTTTGTTAGATAGTTGTCAACAACTTAGTTTACCAAGTTTGTTGTTTTATAATCACGAATAGATGTCAGATCTTGTCAAATGCCTTTTCTGCTTCCATCGAGATGCTAATATGATTTTTCTACATTTCTCGATTTCTATAAATGAATCACTTTAATTCTTTATATTTTCTAAAATGTGCATACAGTAAAATGCACAGACACGTGTGCCGATTTGCAAACACATACAACTACGTCACTGGACCCCTATCATGACATAGACCATTCCTGAAACAGCGTTCAGGACCAGTGTGCAATTGGCACCTGACTCATTAGCCATTTTGACAGCATCAAGCTGTGCAATAATGATGCTAACGCAGAGGGCTGGTGAGCCAGAAATAGGCCGGTTGTCAGTACAGCTCTCCACGCCCTCTTGTTGTGTCAGGATGCATTTTGGCCAGATTTGAGTAGCAGGCCTCTAAATAGCGAGGTCACTCAGAGTCACCAAAAATCAGACATGACATGACTTGACAGCAACTAACAGCAAGTAATGTATGCAGTCTGTTACTGCCACAGAAGAAAGCTGTTACAGTCGTAAAGTATGACTACTCGACACTTAGGTGCACCGCTTTTGGATGTTACGTTTTCCACAGAGCTGTGCCCCCAGGTGATCCTCCTTGAATTAACCTTTGGAGGTAGGGGTTAAGACGCTTTTTAAAATGGACTAATTTTTAAATGTTAAACCACTTATGCATCTCCTGAAGGAAAAAAAAATACATTTATGACATGTTATCATATTTTATATGTTGCTGTATTTGTTTGCATGCACCTAACAATTTTTCATCTATATTTCCAAGAAAGATTATTCTGAAAACAAAAAGAAAGATTGTTCTGTAATTTGTCAAATTACATAAATGACACACCATTCTATACCTTGCCTTTTTTCATTTTACTTTTTCTCTTCCCTTTTTTTTTAATGTGAAAATGTTTTCTTGACTTTTTACCATTGTGGTCTCTTACACTATTGTCCCTTTGTGATTAACTAACTGTGCTCAGCCTAATGTGCTCAGGTTCCTCTGTGGGAGGAGGTGTTTCACAGGCTCATCACTGTTCTTGAATGTAGACTAGTCCATGGTGTGCGTGTACCGAAGAGTGTTTCTCCATTCTTCCACTTACGCCCCTTTCGGTGGTTTCCATATTTTGTTATGGTGAATAGTGCTGTGGTGAGCACGGTTGTGCATATAGCTATTCATATCACGGCTCTTGTTTCTCAAGGACATTTAACCAAACAGGGGGATTGTTGGGCCATATGTTATTTCTAATTTCAGATTTTTGAAGATGTGCCGTGCCATTTTCCATATGGTGGCACCATTTTACGGTCTCACCCTCAGTGAATGTGGGTTCTAGTCTCCCCTCACCCTCACTAGCATGTGTTAATCTGCTTTTTGAACTTTATTATTAATGCTGGGGTAAGATGATAACTATTGTTGCTTTTTTTGCATCTCTCTATTGGCTAATGATCAGGAACGTTTCTTCATATGTTTGTTGGCTGCTTGGATGAATGTCTTCTTTGGCGAAGTATCTGATCATGTCCTCTGCCTATTTGTCAATTGGATTATTTGATTTTTCTTGTTGAGGTGTTTGAGTTTTCTATAAATTTTAGATATTAGTCTCTTGGACAGTAAGTCACTGCCAACAAAATCTTCCCAATATGTAAGCTTTCTGTTTACTCTGTTGCAGAAATCTTTTTTTTTAATTAAAAGATCATTTTAATGGGGGCTCTTACAGCTCTTACAACAATCCATACATCAGTTGTATCAAGCATATTTGTATATATGTTGCCATCATTTTCTAAATATTTATTTTTTATTTGAGCCCTTGTATCAGGTCCTCTTTTTCCCCTCCTCCCCATCCCCCCTAGAGACCCTTTGATAAATTATAAATTATTATTATTATTTTCATATCTTACACCAACCACTGCCTCCCTTCCCCCATGGTTTCTGTTGTTTGTCCCCCTGAGGGCTGGGGGTTATGTGTCCATCATTGCAATCAGTTCCCCCTTCCTCCCCTCTTCTCCCCACCTCCCCACTACCCGCCTGGTATCGCTACCCCCATTCCAGCTCCTGGATTCCGTGTGTCATTAGTTCTATCTCTTATCTGTACCTGTGGACATGCTCTGGTCTAGGCTGCAGTGAAAGGCAGGACTGGGGTCATGATAGTAGGGTGAGGAAGCCTCATTTGCAGAAATCTCTTGGTGCACATACATTTAATTTTTAGGCGATCCTAGTCATTTAATTGGCCTTCTACTGTTTGTGTGCTTTCAGTTATATTTGTTTATGCCATGTGCTTTGGCCCTGTTTGTCTGTTTTTTTCATTGATGACCATTAGAGTTCTAGGTTTTATATTTAAGTCGGACCCATCTTGAGTTCATTTTTATTTATGGTATGATGTGGGTCCTGTTTCATTCTTCTGTAAATGGATATCCAGTTTTATTGGTGCCCTGTTGGAATCGGAATCAGGATTACAGTGTATCTATAGATCACTTTGAGTAGTATTGACAGTTTCACAATGCAAGTATTCCTATCCACAAGCATGATCCATTCTTCTAGTTTTGTAAGTCTCTTTTACTTCCTTATAGTAGTGTTTTGTAGTTTTCATTGTACAAATCTTTTATTTCTCTGGTTAGCTTTATTCCTAAGTATTTTGACTTTAGGGTGGCTACTATAGATGGTATTATTTTCCTTATTTCTTTTTTCAGAGTTCTCTTTATTGGTAAAAAGGAATTTAACTGATTTTTGCACGTTGCTCTTGTGCCTTCCCCATTACTGCCTCTTTAAATTAGTCCCAAAGGGTTTTTTTGGTCAAATTTTCTTCATTTGTGTTTTAACTGGTGTATGCCCTTTGCTCTTCTGGATACGTTTTAGAAACATCTCACTAGCAGTAGTTTGGTAGTAACCACAGATGGTGACCCAGGAGAAGGATTATCTACCAAAATGTATTTTTTATTCATTTTATTGAGGGCTCGTGCAACTCTTATCACAATCCATACATCCGTCAATTGTGTCAAGCGCATTTATTCATTTGTTGCCATCATCATTCTCAAAACATTTGCTTTCTACTTGAGCCCTTGGTATCTACTCCTAATTTTTCCCTCTCCCTCCCTGCTCTTCCCTCCCTCATGAACCCTTGATAATTTACAAATTATTATTATTTTGTCATATTTCACACTTTCTGACATCTCCCTTCACCCACTCTTCTGTTGTTCATCCCCCAGGGAGGAGGTTATATGTAGATTCTTGGAATTGGTTTCCCTTTTCTCCCTCACCTTCCCTCTACCCTGTCCTGGATTCCCTGTGTTTCCAGTTCCTATC